CCCTTCGTCTGTGGATGATCTCAGTCCCTGGCCTTTCGTCTATGTCAGAGGCCAGGGCATTCACACCCCTGATGAATGTTTGAGAGTGTTCGATTGCAGACCGAGTCAGGTCTGAGTCAGTCCAAGGCATCTCAAGTCTTCCGCTTGCATTCGTATTAACTCTGTATTATCTGGTCGGTTCTGTGATTCTGCGCCATACTTATGACTGTGTTTCACGAGTATGCAACAGTTTGGTATCGGAGCAGACCAGCATTGGATGACTCACCATTGATTGATTGATTGATTGATTGATTGATTGATTCATTGATTGATTGATAGATTGATTGATTGATTGATTGATTGATTATCTAAATCTGCACTCTGTTATCATTAAATCGCAAGTTGCAATTTTTTTTTTCTTTTCTCGTACTTTCATAGGTTAATTAGGTCGTTAAAATTTTAATTTTAGGTTTGCGACATTTCTCCATATCGGGCAATTAGGAAATCGCTAATTACGAGTACACCTAATTAGCGCTAATTAGAGTTAGTCCTAACCTAATCTAAACGACCTACCTAACCTATAGGAAGTAAGTGCCAGCCAGGCGCCACGCCAATCCAGGCTGATCTGGCCTGAGAAAGGCCATATTCAAACTGCAACTTCACGGAACTTTCACTTTTTGCAAACTGCATCTTTTTTGCGATTGAAAGGTTGAATCTTTCCAGCAAATTGTGTATCTTCCTCCTACCATTCATCTCTACTAAATGAGTGACCTCGTGATGATGGTAAAATCTTCCGACGAAATTTCGTGAAATTTTTTGAAAGTTATGTCTAAATGTTTAAACTTGCTTAAACTTATTCATTTCTTTTATTGGTGCAAACTTAAATATTTTGATTAAATATTTACCTTTTGTGAAATTAATTCTTGCAAAGTTAAATATTCGTTAATCAGGTATTTAACCTTTTGCCGAAATTAAAATTTTATTAATTCCTTTTTTTTTTTTCGATTAAAATTTATTTAATTTCTCAAAATTCGAAAATTCGTCCGGAGGGAATTTCTTTTTTCTCTTTGATTAGTGTCAGACTACGAGGTCAGGGGAAAAAGGGACTGTCTGTGCATTGCTTGCCTCTCTGCCCCTCCTCCCCACCCTACATCCTCTCGTCTCCTCTCGGTATATGGTTGCCAGCATCCGGACACGTCAGCAG